ATACATCAGACTTGAAACCGTAGTAAATCTTGATCAAGATCTTGATCAAGTTTTTCCAAGGACATCAAGTGCAGAGGTATCAATAAATCTTGATCAAGTTCTTGATCAAGAATTTTCAAGAAAAAAATTCTTTAAAGAACTTGTGCAGATTTTCTCTTTCTGCAAGACGTGGGTTAGCCCCATCAAATTTACAGTAGAAATTCAAACTAGAAACCTTTTCTAAGTTGCTATAAACAGCGGTCAAAGAGTAGATATCAGCATTTCCAAGGCTTCTCTATTTTAAGCTCCTCCAAGCTCGAGTTTGACTAAAGTTAAAGACAACACTTGACGCAATGACATAATCGACCCTTACTTTTGAAATTTTGGTTTTTATACGTTTTTCTATCGTTTTATCATGAAATACAGAAAAAACATGGACCATTTTTACGCAAATCGTTTACTCTCTAAGACTAAGTTGAGAATCCAAAACTAATTTATGCTAAATCAGTTCCCGGATTAGTCGGCTATCCTGAATAGAAGATCAACCGCCTTTCCTGTAGTATGACTGTCGTTTAGAATTTCTAGCAAACTTTCTACAATCTCCCCAAAAGCGCCTTTTTGATCACAAGAGTATTATCAGTGGAATGGAAAGAGTAGAATTCGCGTTCTATCGTCATCCGTAAATTTCAAAATCAACGTGCTGAGGGCTCCAAAGCTGAATTTTGGTTCATAGTATCAGCGCCGTATCTTCATAATCCATTGTGTATATCTCATATAAAGATCGCATATCGCGATCTTATAATACGTAATACTAATTCTTATACAACTTCGAGTGTATGATCCGTGCTCTTTTTTTTACAGCACTTGTACAGCATGAACAAATCAAAGATGAACTTGTATCACAAGACGTTATACCGTTGTTAATTCGATGTGCGACGGAAACAAAATACGATGTTATTAAAGTTCAGCAGCGTGCATTAGAAATCTTATGGGCTCTAACTTTCAACGAACAAGCTGCCACTATATTGAAAAAGGATCAAATTTTTATGAAACACATTAAAACACTTCAACTATCCGATGAAAAAGGCGTCCAAAAAGCAGCAGAAGGCATTATTTGGAAATTGGAGAAAGAAGCTGAATTTATGAGTAAAAATGAGCATGAAAAAGACGTTACGACAGAAACAAATACTGCTCCAGTACCATCAAAAGACCTGAACACATTAGAAGCACAACCATTAGATCGTCGACACAAATATGATGTAATGATTAGTTATTCACATACTGATAAGGATTTGTGTTATCGAATTCAAGAACGGTTAGTTAAAGACAAATTTCATGTATGGCTTGATCGAGACAATCTATATGGATCGCAAATGCAAGAAATGGCCAACGCTATTGAAAATTCAGAATTTGTATTTATCTGTATGTCGGACATGTACAAACAAAGTGCTTATTGTCAATCTGAAGCTCATTATGCATATGAAAGACAGTGTTGCTTAATTCCATTGAAAATGAAAGAAAAATATCATCCTGATGGTTGGCTAGGTTTAATTGTTAGTGGTAAAACATACATAAATTTTTCTGCAAAAGATTTTGATGCTTCATATCAAAAATTAATGACCGAAATCTCTCATTATCGTAACCGAAGAACTGTTTCAAAACAAGATCATATAGCAGACCACACCGTTCTTCAGCATAGTACTGAGATAATAAAATACAACATACCACCAGTGAACGTCACAACAAATTCCAATACGACAGAACGATATGAAAAGACGCTAATGTAAGTGACATTGGTTTTCTTACCATTGACGGAGAGACAGATAGAAAAGTGACTCCAATATCGAGATCTCAGCAACCCCTTACAATACAAACATAAAACTCGGAATCTAGAGGTTTTCGAACATGCTGAATCCAGTGGTAAGGTCGATTTCTCAAGATCCACTGGATCATATTGAACTTCATAATTGGTTTCTAGAAACCTGGTTTTGACCTGGAGGGGTTTTGGGGGCATCTTTTTAAAAATATATGTGGTAGTAGAGTTATTTATTAAACATACACATATAACCCAGCACACGTTTCTCTATCCAGAACACAAGCATCATCACTAAAAACATCATTCTCTTAAGGATCTGTGAAGGTTTTCCGTAAAACTTTCAAAGTTTTCCAAAGATTTTTTATAGCAGCCAGGTAGAATAATTTAAAAATTTTTTGTCTTTTCTTTTAAACTTGTTAAACTATACACTTTACGTGTATAAAGCTGCGACACTCAGCGCTTGTGACTGTAGAATTTTATGAGGATCTTCCAGAAACCCCTGATGGGCTTAATGCAGTGGCGGGGGGGGGGGGGGGCCCCCCCAAACGGAGGGCGGGGCCCCACACGACCCCCCCCAAAGGCCCGCGGGCCCCCCCCCCCCCCCCAAAAGAAAGAAAAGAAAAAAA